TCCCCAGAGGCCTGGGCTGAGCTGCTGACGCAGGAGGGGGAGACACCCCCATCCCCACCCGGGCTGCAACCTGGCTCCTTAATTGGTTTGAAAAATGGCAGCTGGATCCCAGCAGCTGCTGCTCTCGGTCTGGCTCAGGAGCAGGGAGGAGGATGACAGCTTGGCTGGCCAGAGCCCTCGGGTTACTCTCGCATCGCCTTTCTGTTCCCTCCCCCTCGAGTTTGTTTCTGGGACCCCCTCCCCCAAACCTTCCGCAAAGCCTGGTCACGTGACAGAGCCTCGTCTCATCCTCCCTGCTGACATTTCTGGAGGCAGCACTCCCTGCCTGTGCCTGGGTTGGGGGGGGGTTCCTCAGGGAGAGACGCCTCTTCCTGCCCCCACCCCGTGCCCCCCCAGGCGGCCCTCTTCCACTGTTCCCTCTGATGGAAAGCGTGTGTCTTACTTTCTCCGGAGCATTTGTCAGTCTGTTCTTTAAGGGCTCCCTTTCTGCCTCGGTGTTTGTTGAGTATGCTGATGGCCAGGCTGACGCCAGGCGTCTTGCGGGAGGAAGCAGGGACCCTGGGGCCACTCACTGCGGGAGCAACTTCCTGACTCCGGCTGCACGAAGTAAGAGCTGGGCTTGCCTTAGCCTGGGTTTCCTCGTCTGTGAAGTGAAGAAGGTTGGATTTAATCTGTTTGTTCTCAAACTCCTTTTTTCTTCCAGCGTTTTTTTTTCCAAGCAAAAACTGGCAGGAAACACACCCTACAGAGCCCTGTCCACTCAGCTTCACACCTCCATCCCCAGCTGACCCCCTCTCCCTGAGGGCTCTGCAGAGCACAGCTCAGAAATCACCAGATTGGACTCTCCTCGAGGCTCCTTTCAGCTCAAACAGTCTGGGGTCTTCTGGCTGGGCTTTTCAGGAGGGACCCCAGGAGAGGAGAGAGGCTCTACCCTGGGACAGCCTCACCCCTCCAGGTTGTCTGAGGGCCTGGGGCAGAGCGTTAGGGACAAATAGACGCACCAGTGGTGACTTGGTGGCCCAGAACCTGTAACCTCACTTTACCTAAAATTGAGTTGAGAAAACAGATGGGCTTTTGCAGCCACACCGGCCCACGCTGGGCCATGCAGTCAAAGAGCTAGGCCGTGTTGAGGGCTTCGCATTTTTTTCTCCAGTGGGATAGAAAGTTATTAAAAGATTGCAAATGCATGATCTGGTTTACACACTTAAAAGATTTACGTGTTTAAGAGACTCTAGCATTAGGTTGGAGAGTGGATTGAGCAGATAAGCCTGATGGCCGGGAAAACTACAAATTTCTTAGTTTATTCACTAGTTTATGTATTGAGAGGTGACAGGATACCCAGAAGTGAAACCTTGTGTTCACACAAAAACCTGCTCAGGAATGTCCACAGCAGCACTCTTCATAGCAGCCAAAAAGTGGAAACAACACGAATGTCCACCAACAGACCAATGGATATAGGAAATATGGGACAATCCATGTGGTAAAAAGTAATCCTTAGAAACTGCAGTTATTAGAATCGGGAGACCAGCAGGGGGAGCTCTCACCCAGCCCAGCCCAACAGGAAGAAGAAAGCCTTGTCTTCTTTTCCGCAAGGACTCAGCCAATGAAAAGCCAAGGGCTGTCTGCTGAGCCCGCCCACCGTCCTCTCCCCTCTATAAAAAGCTTCTCCTGGCCTAGGGGCCGGGACTTGCCCGTGGCCCGCAGTGACCGAGAGTCTCTGCGGAGAAGCACCTGGCAGTCTTTTTGCTTTCGGTCAACGTGTTGGTGGCCCATCCGGGGACCAGAGAAGACCCCCGACGGCTCCGGGCTGGTGAGCGAACAGGCGGCACCCACACTGAGCTCATGGCGCTCCCTGCTTTTCCTGCCGACCCTGGGCTTTGAAGGTACGTCTTCCTCCTGGGCCGCAGCTTCTTTGTGTTTTGAAAGTCTCCAGGCTTCATTCAGGAGGTATTTTAGAGTTTTGTTCTTTCTGGTGAAGGCCTTGTTCTGTGCGCGGGTGCTTGTTTGGCACTTCGGTCTGATTTGAAGTCGAGCTGTTCCGGTGGGCGCTGGCTCACCGCTGGGCTGTGCTTTGGAACAGGGTCTGTTCTAGGGATCCAGGCTGAGCAGCCTTCGCCTGGCTCCTCTGGGACCAGCCTGTCCCCTTAGAACTGGCTGACACTAAGCCTGCAGGCTGTTCGGGCTGTTTGAGCTGACTCCCCCCCCCAACACAAAACCCAAGCAAACAGACAAAATACCTCTGAGAAACGTGCTCCCCGTTAAACATTTTGAGGTGCCCCTTCTTCCTTCCCTTCACACACTCTCAGCTTCCCCCACACTCGTTCTCTTGCCAACTTTTCTTTTTATCTGAAACTCCACACTCCCTTTCCCTCTAAACTTTTCAGAACCTGCCCCTTTAAAATTAAACTTCTGAGAATCCAGAGGCCAAACCTTTAATTTCTTAAACGCCCTGGACTAAAGCCGAACTGTGAGCCACAGTCAAAGTTTTTCCCAAAGTAACTGAAGCTCCTCACAACTTTGCTGAGGAATTTAACACAGTCATTGAAACCTCTCAACTGGGTTCCTGCGCTTCTATCAGCTAGTTCATATGCTTGTCAGTGAAGCCAGGCCCGGCATTGGATGAAAACCACTAACTGGGGAAATCCCTGACAGGTCGCCAGAATTCCAGCCAGGAGACCAGCCTGCTAACTTACTGTGTGGTCAGCCTCAGACAGTCACTCAGCGGCTGCGTCAGGCAGTTCCCAGGGCTTTCCCAGACCCTGTCGGGTGGAACACAGTTCAGGCTCGTACAGAACAATCTGATGAACCAGTTCGTGACTGTTGTGATAACTTCCAGTTACTTTAAAAGAAAAGTCTGGTCCTTAGAGGCTGATTCCATCTGGGTTGCTTTTAACTCTGTTTATTAATGGCCAGGATCTTTTCCTTCTAGTAAATAAGGACCAGCATGGAATGGGAAACTGCATCCACCCAGATTTAGTTAATCTGGCAAACGAGCTCTCCCCCAGTCTAATGAGTCGCCTTAAAGGAAGACCGCCAAAACTCTTAATCTACAACGCCAGCAAAGACCCCTAATGGAACCCAAACCTTCCTAGTCTCTGCTATTATTGCAAAGAGCCAGGAGATTGGGGAACAGATTGTAATGAATTCAAGTGCTTTAGGCGACTTCAGCCCGCTAACCAGCCTTTCCTGTGTCCTCTCCATCTTCAGTGACGGGGCTCAGAGGAACCACGGGGCTCTTCCCAATCCTCCCTCTTAACTGGCTTGGAGAAACATTTCTCCAGACTGGGGGTAAATCTCTCCCAGTCCTGACACTGGAGCCACAGTCTCAGGGCTCAGCCTCCCTGCTACAAAGCAGAAAAGAAAAAGAATAGAGTTTGCTGACAGGTTGACTCTTGGGCATGAGAGACAGAGGAGAGGAGGCTGGTTCTTAGGACCCCAGAAGGGTTAGCCTGTGTGGACAGGATTTCCATTGAGCAAGGCGAGTATAGAGAATAAGAAGCAGATTGAATGGGAGCTGTCTGGTGGAAGAGGGTGCATGTGCAGAAAGGACCCACTGGACGTGCTGCCTTGAGGTGGGACTTCTGAGTCAGGGGCCATTGGGCAGGGACAGCATCCGCCCTGAGATGTAGATCTGGGTGCTGGTAGCAGGTGAGTGGAACTGAAGCCAGGGAGTCATGGAACTCACCTGGACCGCCATCTGTTTGGTCCTCTGTGTCTTAGGCACAGGTGTGTGGACCTGTGTCCCCAGGATGTGTAAAAGTGGGCCTGCCCTAGCCCAGAAATGCTGCTGTGGGAGCGGCTCTCCCCAGGGAGTGTTTGGTAGCGTGTAGAGACGCTTTTGTTGTTGCAGATTGGGGGAGGGGGTGCTACTGTCTTCCAGTGAGCAGAGGCCAGGGATGCTGCAAGCATCCTACAGGGCATGGGGTGGTACCCACAGCAAAGAAGGATCCAGCTGCCCCAAATCTCAGTAGTGCTGAGGCTGAGAAGCCTGACCTAGAGCGGCTTACAGTATGTGTATAATATACGTGACTTATACTTGTGTAATATATAATCTATACAATATGTAATATGAATATATAATAATACAATGTATAATTACATACAATATTATAATGTATAATACTATATAATAGAATGTATCTTTTATATATATGTGACTTAGAGTTGACTCCAGAAATGTGAAGCTCTGTCACTGCATGCTCCTGGATTCCTGAAGCAGAAGTGGCTTTTGGATAAGTGCCATGGCTCATCTTCAGGGCAGTTTCATCATTTGGTTCTCTTTGTTGCTAGAAAAAAGCCAGCTGTGGTTATAATTTCCTGCTGTTTACATCCTATTCAATTTTATATGAGCTAGGCAGAGCCCAAATGACATTAAACGATCAAGTGAAAAATATCAGTTGCAAAAATTTTTTATTATATTGATCAATCAAAATAATCTTAAGTGAAAAAGATACGTTCTCTCTTTACTCACTGATAATTGTGGCTTTTCCCCCTACTGGTATATACACGCATAGGTTTGTATATACTTTCAAATGGGCTATAATTTGTCACTCCAACTCGACTGTAAACGTGCTATTATTTATAAATGTTGTTAGATAACAGTCACCAGACAATATTACTCAAGTGTTTAATCCTTTGAATCAAGAATTTCACGTGTATTCATGAGCCATGAACAAGCGGTCTTGTAAGATGGTATTCCTGTTTCATGGTGATGAAAAGCAAGACAGGAGGAGGCATCGTGGTTTCCTCCAAGCTGTAAGGAGGATCAGGTTCCAAATCTTCAAATAGTTCTGTCCCTTGGATCTTTGTATGCAAAATAACTTAGAAAATAATTACTCATTAGTTTAAACAGCTAAACTTTTTATTTGCTCTGCTTTTTATTTTTTTAATTGACGTATAGTCAGTTACAATGTGTCAATTTCTAGTGTCCCACTCACGTACCTACATACATATTCATTTTTATATTATTTTGCATTAAAGGTTATTACAAGATATTGAATATAGCTCCCCATGCTCTACAGAAGAAATTTGTTTCTTATCTATTTTTATACATAGTGGCTAACATTTGCAAATCTCAAACTCACAAATTTATCCTTTCCCACCCCGCCTCCCCCTGGCGACCACAAGTCTGTATTCTATGTCTGTGAGTCTGTTTCTGTTTTATAGATGTTCATTTGTCTTGTCTTTTTTTTTTAGATTCCACATATGAGTGATATAATATGATATTTTTCTTTCTCCTTCTGGATTACTTCACTTAGAATGACGTTCTCCAGGGCCATCCATGTTGCTGCCAATGGCATTATTTTATAATTTTTATGGCTGAGTAGTATTCCAGTGTATAAATATACCACAGCTTCTTTATCCAGTCAGCTGTCGATGGACATTTAGGTTGTTTCCATGTCTTGGCTATTGTAAATAGTGCTGCTATGAACATTGGGGTGCAGGTGTCTTTTTGAATTAGGATTCCCTCTGGATATATGCCCAGAAGTGGGATTGCTGGGTCATATGTAAGTCTGTTTTCAGTCTTTTGAGGAATCTCCATACTGTTGTCCACAATGGCTGCACCAAACTGCATTCCCCCTAACAGTGTCGAAGGGTTCCCTTTTCTCCACAGACTCTCCAGCACTTATTTGTGGACTAAAAAAGCCAATCTTGAAGCCGATCTTATCAACAAAAATCAATTCCA